TTAGGGGTTCAGGGTTTCGGGTTTGCCTAGGGGTTTCGAGTTTAGGGGTTAAGGGGTTTAGGGTTTAGGGTTCGTCTAGGGGTTTCGAGTTAAGGGGATAAGCGGTTTTGGCTTTGTATAATGGTTTCGAGTTTAGGGGTTAGGGGTTTAGGGTTTAGGGTTTGCCGAGGGGTTTCGAGTTTAGGGGTTAAGTGGGTTTTGGGTTTGCCTAGGGGTTTCGAGTTTAGGGGTTTAGGGTCTAGGTTTCGCCTAGGGGTTTCGAATTTAGGGGTTAAATGGGTTTAGGGTTTGCCTAGAGGTTTCGAGTTTAGGGGTTCAGGGTCTAGGGTTTGCTTAGGGGTTTCGAGTTTAGGGGTTAAGGGGTTTAGGGTATAGGGTTCGTCTAGGGGTTTCGAGTTTAGGGGATAAGCGGTTTTGGCTTTGTATAATGGTTTCGAGTCTGGGTGTTAGGGGTTCAGGGTTTAGGGAGTTTAGGGTTTAGGGATCGTGGGTTTAGGGATCTGTACTAGCGGTTTAGGGGCTTTGGGATTAGGATTGGAAGGAGGACGCTGTGGACCTTCTGTAGGGTTTTGGGTTGTTACGTTGGGATACTTAGGCTGTCGGGTAGAGTTCTACACCGCAGTCCATGACAAACCGTGGACGGCTGTGGAGCTAGCGAACATTCAAGCCCTGAAGCCCAAGACCGTAAACCATAGTCGCCGAGACCTAACCCTGAACCCTACACTTTGTGCTTCTGCAGGGGCTCGGGCAGAAAATGCTCTCAAAGGTGCAGTGGGACGGGAGGATTTGGGTATTGTGGTATCAGAAGTTTCGAGTGTGCCTTAACCCCTAAACCCCTAAACCCCGTAAACCCTAACCCCTAAACCCCTAAACCCCTAAACCGCTAAACCTTAACCCCTAAACCCCCAACACCCGAAGCCCTAAACCCTTAAGTGTGTTGGGACCTGTAGGCTTCAAACGGTGTAGAGACTTGAAGGCTGTTTGCGGATGTTTGCCGGGTCTTCGATGTTTCCCCAAACCCCTAACCTGGGTCAGTGTTGGCTACAAATTTAGATTTTTTGTTACAACAGAACCCAATAAGGATTAAGCATGATCATTTTTGATATAGCTCCAACAAAAAAGCAGTAACCGTTTGCTTTACACCGCGAGATACTAATACCTTAACTTGACAATCTAAAGAAGAGTTTTCCTGGAGCCCGTTATTCGAAAAGCCCTCTCACTACGAATGCGGGATTCTGATCCATGAACCCCATTAGCTGGCATACGGCTTTAGGGTTTAGGGTTCCCTCTAAAACCCCTACAGCCTAAACCCTAAACCCTAAACCCTAAACCCTGAACCCTAAACCCTAAACCCAAAGACGCTCTACGGCATCGGAGGCCCGAGCTGCGAAAGCTTCGGTTCTTCGTGGGCGCATCCAGGGCTTCGATAAGAGCGGAAACGGCGAGATTAGCGCAGTGCGCGTGGTGCTGAGGCTTGGCGAAAGGCTTTGGGCTTTAGGGTTTAGGGTTTCGGGTTTAGGGTTTATAGGGTTTAGGGTATAGGGTTTAGGGTTTAGGGTTTAGGGTTTCGGGTTTAGGGTTCAAAGGGTTCTTGCCTTGTTTGACGGGTATGCCGAAGGGATTGTGCGGGGGTTGCTACAGGGGTTTCCCCAAGCAAGTTTTTGCCAGAGCTTTACATGATTTTGGGGTCAGGTCATGAGGATGAGATAGGGCCTTAATAATTAGAATAGGGTTTTGGGGTAGATCATACTAGAAGTATATTAAGGAAGGATCCTCCCGAAACGTTATTCTAATTCTTAAGGCCCTTAACATCGAACCCTATCATAGATCCCTTTTTGAAAGCCTCTCAAGGATCCCTTTAGAGGAACCCTATTCTAATTATCAAGGCCTCTACATTTATACAGATTTAAGGGTGTAGGGCCAGGGTCTTCAACAAAAAAGTTAGGGTTAAGGGTTTAGGGTTTAAACCCTAAACCCTAAACCCTAAACCCTAAACCCTAAACCCTAAACCCTAAACCCTAAACCCTAAACCCTAAACCGTGGTAGGGGCTCAGTGGCTCAGGAGAGGCCTGACATGCATTGTCACAAGAGAGACAGGACCCGGCTCAGGTAAGGCAGCCCGGATTTAGGATCTCACATGGAGGATATTGTAAGGCTTGGGGTTTAGGGCTTGGGGTTTACAGGGTTTAGGGCGTTTAGGGTTTGGCGGGTTATAGCAAGCCCCCTTACCCTAAAGCGTTCGGGTTCAGCGTAAACCATTTCCACTCCACTCCTGCTGCGAATCTCAGAGACCAATCTTGTAGACGATCGAAACACTACGTGGGAAACTGAAAGCACAGAAAAGAAAACTTGAGAAAGGGACCTTGAGTAGTCATTTGATTGATTTTCCTTAGGGCTCATTGACATAATACATCCCCCAAGACCCTATTCTAGTTATCCAGGCCCCTTTCTGGGTAGTTGTCCAAATTAGGGTCCCTTTTTCGGTCCCCAACATGGTACAGCACCGTTTTTAGCAGGAATTTGGAAGGGACCCTACTTTAGAGAACTACAAAAGGGGCCTAAATAATTACCAACACTATTTTGGGGGGTTCCTTATTATAACCAAAGTATAAGGGACCCCAAAACCTTATCATAATTATTCAGGCCCCTACATTACCCCTTTTTGCACAAAGCACCCTTCAAGGCTTTCCCTGTACTAAGGAGCGACGGTACTGAGAGCCGCCTGCCCTGCGACGCCGTGGCTCGAACCTGTCCGCCTTCTGGGGTTTAGGGTTTAGGGTTTAGGAACCCTAAACCCTAAACCCTAAACCCTAAAAACTAAACCCTAAACCCTAAACCCTAACCCTAATTCAGGGTTTCGAAAGTCCTTGCGCGATTCCTGCATCTAGATCTTCAAAGTGTCAGATTCGGAGTGTCAGCCATATAGCCCAAGACCGCTCAATGAAGGAATACTCCGTAAAGTTCATAGTATAGACTAGAAGCATCGTCAAATTTAGGAGATGATTTAATACGTATTCCTTAAGTAAGGGATATTTGGCTTTCTGGGAATGTGGGATGGTGGAGCCTAGAGTGCATGCAGATTTTAGTGTTTCTGGGTTTGGGGAGGAGGAAACCCTAAACCCAAAACCTTCAACCAAGACTTAACTAGTGCTTTCGACTTGAGGCTTGTCGGTTTCAGAACCTTCTGGATTCTGGAGGCTTCGACGATGAGAGCTATGATGTGAGCCGGATACGCCCTCAAAGCATCAACCCTTAAACCCCCAAGCCCTAAACCCAGCACAAGAAGTTTCTAAACCCCTAAACCCCTAAACCCCTAAACCCGAAACCCGAAACCCCAAACAACGAAATCCGTAAACCCTAGAACCGTAAAAGCAACAGCAAACTTAAACCCCTAGGCTAGACCCAAGGTTTGAAGCTCTAGTGGGAACATCCCGCAATACCCCCAAAAGCGGGCCGACACCCTAAACCCTAAACCCTAAGAGATCTGAGGTTTTCGGGGCTTAAGGGGATTGGGTTTTGGGTTTAGGGGGGCTCAGGGGCTTTCGAGTCTTGGGTTTTAGGGTTTAGGGTTTAGGGTTTAGGGCTTCAGGCGGTTTGTCATTTGTGGGGGTTGCGCGTGTTTGGAGTTTCGGATGTAGTTGCGCAGCTGTAGATGACAAAACAGGAAAGAAACGACAGCAACAGCTGTCGTACTTGCTAGGTGGTGTTAGGGAGACCCCTTAAAGGGGGACCAGGGTTTAGGTTTAGGGTTTAGGGTTTAGGGTTTAGGGTTTAGGGTTTAGGGTTTAGGGTTTAGGGTTTAGGGATCCTTCTTAACCCTGCTTCTGGCTCTCTTAAGAGGGACCTTTTGTTGAGAGGGTCTATATCCCGTAAAGGGACCTTTAATCCTAACACCCAGTATTTCCGCTAGCAAGCGCAGCCTGGGGCTCGCCCCAGGAGTACACACCCCAAGATTTTATGAAGCATATCATATTTGCGCTTCAATTAAACACCAAACCCGAAACCCTAAAACCTAATTAAACCCTACACTCTAATAATAATTGAGCCCCAAACCCCAATTAAACCCTAAACCCGAAACCCTATACCCTAAACCCTCGTTAAACCCAACACGAAAGCCTAAACCCTAAACCCTAATTAAGCCCGAAATCCTAAACCCTAAACCCTAGTTAAACCCAAAAGCCTAAATTAAACCCTCAACCCGAAACCGTGAACCTCAAACCCTAACCAAACCCTAAACCCTAATTAAATCCTGAACTCGAAACCCTAAACCCCAAACCCCAGTTAAACCCTAAACTCAAAACCCTAAACCCTAAACCCTAATCAACCCTGAACCCTAAACCCTAATTAACCCCGAAACCCTAAACCCGAAAGCATGGAGTGGAGGTGGTCAACGCCGCCGGCGCGTGGATGCCGAACCTTAGCGATCTGCTGGGTTCAGGCTACGGCTTGGGAGTTTAGGGTTTGGGGGTTTAAGGCTTTTTTTTTGGGGGGGGATTTTGTCGTTCAGCGGTTTCTTGTTGTTTTCGGGTTTCTTGTTGTTTTCGGGTTTTTGGGTTGGGTTCGGGACTGAAACGCTGAAGTACAAAAGCAAACCCAGTAACCTCGACCCATAGTTCCGAGGTACGTCTCTGACCATTGTAGACGACTGATTCATAAACTCGACGTCTTTGCAGATCTTGATTTTGGGATTCCTATAGTAACAGGGTTTGTGTTAAATGATGGTCTGCATTACTATTGAATATGGGGGTCATGCCGTGAGACGACTGTCGATTCACCTTTTCCTGTGTAGACAGCTTCCCGATACTGCAACTCGCTGAAGATCCACCGAGTGCCACGACGCCAAGCTTAAACCCTAAACCCTAAACCCTAAACCCTAAACCCTAAACCCTCGCGGCAGGCTCCCCGCTGCCACTCCTGAATGAAGTGCATGCGAAGGTGCCACTTTGCTCGGATTATTCGACCTGGAGGGTTAATGATAATAACCATGTTACTAATAGTTGCTTTATGCTTTGCTGGTGCTGTTCTGGGTTGAGGGTTCAGCACGGCAGACGCTCACCAGAATCATATTCTTCAACCTCTGAACCAACTCCGCTTGGATGAGAAACCCAAAGCCTGAAACGGCCCCAGAGAACACGGTCCCCAAGGCCTCAAGCTGTGCCAGGCTTTGGTACAAGTCATCACGATTCATGGCTTTTTTCTGAGCGTTTCAGACCCGGAGTCCTGAATTCGGGGCTTGCCTCAGGTTTGGCCTGTCAAAAATCCCTAAACCCTAAACCCCCTAAACCCTAAACCCTAAAAAGCGCAAAGGAGGACATACTCCCGTCGAGGGTTCTCATGTCGCACCGTCCTTTGTCGGAAGCGCTGTCGGGAGCCGAGGATTCTGCACGACACAAAGGCGCGATCTGGGGCCAAATAATTAAATGGGTAGTTCTCACGGTTTAGGGTTTAGGGTTTAGGGTTCAGGGTTTAGGGTTTCTCGAAATTAGGGTCCCTTTTAGGGGTCCGTTTTATAAGGGTGCCGTACTATATTGGGACCCTAAAAGGGGTCCTATATTAGACAACTACGCAGATTGTTTTCATCAAAACACCTGGCATATACTGTACAGCGAAATGCGTTTAGACTGCATTATCATGACAGTTAGAGGTGGCACCTCTACACTGAAAGAGTGGTGGGAGGATCAGTGTTTTGATAGCAGCAGTTCACAGGCAGCCAGCATCACCTTTGGTTTCAGGGGTCGCGCTTCAGGATCGGAATGATTGGACTGCCAGCTGCAATTCTCGCCTGCTTGTGTCGACAACTTGAAACGGATGCTGAAGTTCAGGCGATCTTGCATCCTCAGCCACACAGCGCTGAATTCAAGTTCGGATGAGGGCTGAGGGTGTAGGGTTCAGGGCTTGGGGTTCGGGATTAGGGTCGCAAAATCGGTGAGACCCCCCACCTGTAGCCGAAAACACCTACCTTTTTAGGCTTCCTTATTATTATGATTATTATTATTATGGTTTCTATACTGTTGTTCCTTACAGAGGTATGTCTTTTGGGCCACAGGTAAACCCTAAACCCTAAACCCTCAAAGCTGCACCCTAAACCCTAAAAAAAAAGCTGAACCCAAAGGCTGTCATACCGCAGTCCTTCGCACCCTTCATGGTCTGGCGAGACAAGGTGGGAGTTTTCGACAATACGGGGTACCTTATTCTGGGGGTCCTTATAATAAGGATCCTATTATTTAGGGTACCATCTTAGGGTCTAGGGTTTAGGGTTTAGGGTGGAATACCTTAAAATGGGGTCCTTATACTGAAAATAAGGATCCTACTTTTTTAGGGTACTATAGTAGGGTCCCCTAGTTTTGGAAGCCCCCAGGTGACGCTGGACTGGGACGACGAGGCCGGTCGTGTCGGGCTGGGATCGGGAGGACAAGGGGTGGCTTTCAGGGGTTTCAGGTTTGAGGGTTTAGGGGTTTAGGGTTTAGGGTTCAGGGTTTAGGGGTTTAGGGTTTAGGGTTGTTCTATAAACCGGTTAAGCGTATACAGGGGTCTCGGGTTTAGGGAAAAGGGTTAGGGTTCAGGGTTTAGGGG